AGGTGCCGGAAAACACCCGGAGGGGGGAGGGAAAGTGGGATTTGCTGCAGCCACTGGTTGGGTTTGTTTGAGATGAAGGTGCTTAATTAACCTGGGAGCTGCTAATGAGGGAGCTCTGGGGGGTGGGTCCTTGGTCCCAGATCCTGGTGCTTGGTCCCAGATCCTGGTCCTTGATCCCAGATCCTGGTGCGGGTCCCAGATCTTGGAGCTGCTCCGGGTCCTTCCTTGTGGCACCACTTGGCTCTGCCAGAGCTGGGGGGTCCTGGTGGCTCTTGGGGTCTCAGTAGATTCGGGGGGGGTCCCACAGATCCCTGGGGTTCCCGGCAGATCCGGGGGGTCCCACAGATCCCTGGGGTTTGTGGCAGATCCAGGGGGGTCTCAGGCAGATCCCAGGGGTCCTGGCAGATCCCTGGGATTCCTGGAAGATCCAGGGAGTCCTGGCAGAGCTGGAGGGTCCCACAGATCCCCTGGGCTTCCTGGCAGATCCCAGGGGTTCCCACAAATCCCGGGGTGTCCTGGCAGATCCCAGGGGTTCCCACAGATCTCGGGGGGTTCCTGGCAGACCCGGGGTTCCTGGCAGAGCTGGAGAGTCCCAGGCAGATCCCAGGGGTTCCCACAGATCCCGGGGGTCCTGGCAGACCCGGAGGGTCCTGGCAGAGCTGGAGGGGCCCAGGCAGATCCCAGGGGTTCCCCCTCCCTGGGGTTCCTGGCAGATCCGGGGGGTCCCACAGATCCCTAGGGTTCCTGGCAGATCCAGGGGGGTCTCAGGCAGATCCCAGGGGTCCTGGCAGATCCCTGGGATTCCTGGAAGATCCAGGGAGTCCTGGCAGAGCTGGAGGGTCCCTCAGATCCCCTGGGCTTCCTGGCAGATCCCAGGGGTTCCCACAAATCCCGGGGTGTCCTGGCAGATCCCAGGGGTTCCCACAGATCTCGGGGGGTTCCTGGCAGACCCGGGGTTCCTGGCAGAGCTGGAGAGTCCCAGGCAGATCCCAGGGGTTCCCACAGATCCCGGGGGTCCTGGCAGACCCGGAGGGTCCTGGCAGAGCTGGAGGGTCCCAGGCAGATCCCAGGGGTTCCCACAGATCTCGGGGGGTTCCTGGCAGACCCGGGGTTCCTGGCAGAGCTGGAGAGTCCCAGGCAGATCCCAGGGGTTCCCACAGATCCCGGGGGGTCCCGGCAGATCCCAGGGGTTCCCACAGATCCCAGGGGTTCGCACACATCCCAGGGGTTCCCACAGATCCCGGGGGTCCTGGCAGACTCGGGGGGTCCTGGCAGAGCTGGAGGGTCCCAGGCAGATCCTAGGGGTTCCCACAGATCCCAGGGGTTCCCACGGATCTAGGTTCCCACAGATCCAGTTCTCACAGACCCCAAAGGTTCCCACAGATCCCGGTTCCCCCAGATCCCAAAGGTTTCTCCAGATTCAGTTCCTGTAGATCCAGTTCCCCCAGATCCCAGAGGTTCCCCCAGATCCCAGAGGTTCCCCCAGATCCAGTTCCCACCTCCCACCAGGACTCTTTGCCACCTCCAAAGCTCCGTGACCCCCTTTGTTCGTCCCTCCAACCCCCCGCGCTTCATTAGCCTCGTTCCCTCCCTCCACTCCCCCGAGAGGGGGGGGGCTGGGGCTCAGCAGCACTGCCAGGATTTTTAGGGGGGGGGTTTCATCTTTCTTCCCCTTCCTCCACTTCTCCCATTTCCCCTCTTTTTTCCCCCCCCCAGCTGAAGACGTTTGTGTCTTCAAATGCTCCGTGTCCCGGGACACCGAGTGCAGCCGCGTCGGGAAACAATCCTTCATCATCACCCTGGGCTGCAACAGCGTCCTGGTCCAGTTTGCTACCCCTACTGGTGCGTCCCCCTACCCTGGGATCGTGGGATGGTGTCTCCTCTTTTCCCTAATTCCCTCTTTTTTTCTATCTTTCCCCCCCTCCCCCCAAGATTTCTGCTCCTTTTATAACATCCTAAAGAACTGCCGGGGGCACAACACGGAGCGCTCGGTGTTCAGCGAGAGGACAGAGGAGTCCTCAGCTGTCCAGTACTTCCAGGTGAAGCACAACCTGACCCCCTCACACCCCCTCCAACATTCCCACAGCATTCCCAGTCACCTCTGCCTCCCTCTTTTCCCTCCCCAGTTTTATGGATACCTGTCCCAGCAGCAGAACATGATGCAGGATTACGTCCGGACCGGCACCTACCAACGCGCCATCCTGCAGAACCACAGCGACTTCAAGGACAAGGTCAGGTCCTTGTCACCTCCCCCCACCTCATGGGGGGGACACCCACCCGTGTCCAGTCACTCCCCAGAGCTGGGCAAAAAACACTCGGATTTGGGGTTTCCAGCTTTCATCCATCCTGGTGTTTCCCAACTCCTTCCCGGCTGTTTTGTTTGAAGGTTCCCCCCAAAAAAGTGCCCGTGATCCAGGGGCCACCAGGGCCATCCTGGCAGCCACCAGGACCATCCTGGGATCCCCCAGGGCCATCCCAGGGGCCACAGGAACATCCTGGGATCCCCCAGGGCCATCCCAGGGGCCACAGAAACATCCTGGGATCCCCCAGGGCCATCCCAGGGGCCACAGGAACATCCTGGGATCCACCAGGGCCATCCTGGGATCCCCCAGGGCTATCCCAGGGGCCACAGGAACATCCTGGGATCCCCCAGGGCCATCCCAGGGGCCACCAGGGCCATCCTGGGATCCACCGGGGCCATCCCAGGGGCCACAGGAACATCCTGGGATCCCCCAGGGCCATCCTGGGATCCCCCAGGGCTATCCCAGGGGCCACAGGAACATCCTGGGATCCCCCAGGGCCATCCCAGGGGCCACCAGGGCCATCCTGGGATCCACCGGGGCCATCCCAGGGGCCACAGGAACATCCTGGGATCCCCCAGGGCCATCCTGGGATCCCCCAGGGCTATCCCAGGGGCCACAGGAACATCCTGGGATCCCCCAGGGCCATCCCAGGGGCCAC